GAGCGCGGGCTGGGGGGCCCCGCTCCGCCAGAGCCGGACAGCGGCCCCCAGCGCTGCGGCATCCGCACCTCAGACATCATCATCTTGCCCCACATCATTCTCAACCGCCGTACATCCGGCATCATCGAGATCGAGATCAAACCGCTGCGCAAGATGGAGAAGAGCAAGTCCTATTACCTGTGCACGTCGCTTTCCACTCCGGCCCTGGGTGCAGGAGGCCCGGGGTCCGCGGGTGGCGCCGTCGGGGCCAAGGGCGGCTCTGGGGTGGCGGGACTCCCGCCGCCCCCGTGGGCCGAGACCACCTGGATTTACCACGATGGCGAGGACACCAAGATGATCGTGGGCGAGGAGAAGAAGTTCTTGCTGCCCTTTTGGCTGCAGGTGATCTTCATTTCGCTGCTGCTGTGCCTGTCGGGCATGTTCAGCGGCCTCAACCTGGGGCTCATGGCCCTGGACCCGATGGAGCTGCGCATCGTGCAGAACTGCGGCACCGAGAAGGAGAAGAATTACGCCAAGCGCATCGAGCCCGTGCGCAGGCAGGGCAACTACCTGCTGTGCTCGCTGCTGCTGGGCAACGTGTTGGTCAACACCACGCTCACCATCCTGCTCGACGACATCGCTGGCTCAGGCCTCGTGGCGGTGGTGGTCTCCACCATCGGCATCGTCATCTTCGGGGAGATCGTGCCCCAGGCCATCTGCTCCCGGCACGGCCTGGCTGTAGGTGCCAACACCATCTTCCTCACCAAGTTTTTCATGATGATGACCTTCCCCGCTTCTTACCCGGTCAGCAAGCTGCTAGACTGCGTCCTGGGCCAGGAGATTGGTACCGTCTACAACCGGGAAAAACTGCTGGAGATGCTCCGGGTCACCGACCCCTATAACGACCTCGTTAAAGAGGAGCTGAACATCATTCAAGGGGCGCTGGAGCTCCGCACCAAGACCGTGGAGGATGTGATGACTCCCCTCCGGGACTGCTTCATGATCACCGGCGAGGCCATCCTGGACTTCAACACCATGTCGGAGATCATGGAGAGCGGCTACACTCGCATTCCGGTGTTCGAGGGGGAGCGCTCCAACATCGTGGACCTGCTCTTTGTCAAAGACTTGGCCTTCGTGGACCCGGATGACTGTACTCCCCTGAAAACCATCACCAAATTTTATAACCACCCCTTGCACTTTGTTTTCAATGACACCAAGTTGGACGCTATGCTGGAAGAATTTAAGAAAGGTGGGAAATTTTGGTATCTTTCATTGGCTTGCTTTTTCTGTCTCCATCCTCCCCCTTACCCTCTGACCAACCCCCCAAGGCGAGTTGACCGGAATTTCTCCTTCTTTCTCTTAATAGCAACGTTGAAAGGGTGGCATGGATTTGGGGCCGGATTGAACTAGTAAGCGCTTCTAGGTTCTGTAAAGCACGCGTCTGGCATCACTTGCTTTTTTCACGTCAAAAGCAGGCTCATACTTTTTGTGAAAAGAAGAAGTGATACTTTTTTCTTTTTTTGCTGGGGGTGGGTCACTGGTCTTGAGGGGTCTGGAGCATTCACGGCCTGGTGCTGAGGGGATGGGTGGAAGTAGGGGCCCGCTGTCCCCCTGCCATCTGGTTGACATGTAGTAATTGCAGACCTTTGGAAAACATCTAAATAGCTGTTCTAAAACTCAGTGCAATCCTGTTCCTCCTCCTGAAACATCCACACCGACGCTTCTAAGATTGGAAGTGCATTTTCTTTAGCTTCTGTTCCTGGTTTTCTGGCTACCTGTGGGGAAGATTGAGGTTTGTCTTTGAGTAGGGGGTGGGATAAGCCAAGGGCCACCAAAAAATTCACGCATTTTGGATGTGACTTAGAAGAGAGGTTTTTGTTTTGTTAAACTTAAAGCTCGTTATCAATATAAAAATGGGGAAGATGAGCGCTAAGTGGACCTTTTTTATGGGAATGCGTTCACACATCTGATTTATTTGCTTTTACCTACTGGCACATACAGTTTCAAAAATCAAGTATGGTTTTGGGCAAAAGCTTGAACCTTTAACAAATGGCATGAATCCCTTTATGAATTATGGTTTATTTATTTCTTAGCGTTTTTTGTTTTATACATATTCTTTTTTTTTTTTTAAACTTTATTTATTTATTTATTTAAATTTGACCAGAGAGGGTCAGAAAGAGGGACAGAGAGTGAGAAAGCACGCTGCCAGGTCCAGGACTTGAACCACAGTTGGTCATGTGGGAGTCCAGGGCCCTTAACCAATACGCCACCTGCCAACCCCTATACATGTTCTCTTTAAACTTGATTATCTGAATGTTAAGCATGTCTCCAAGTCAGCTCTCACTCTCTCCCCCAGGGTGTTTAACAGGGACTAGCAGTAGAGTCCGATGTGCTCCCAGAGCTTGCCATTTATGCATGATGGTATTTTTTCTTTGTTTCACCGTATAAAGAACAGGTAAATAACGACTCCTACTTGGGGCTGGCAGGTGGTCTGGTGGTTAAGGGCTCTGGATTCCCACATGGTTGACCGTGGTTTGAGTCCTAGATCTGGCAGCTTGCTTTCTCACTTTCCCTCTCTCTCTCCCCCTCTCCGATCAAATCAAAATAAAGTTAAATAAAATAATTCTTTAAAAAAGTAGCAGCTGATATTATTGTTATTGAAATGCTGGACGTTTCCAGTAAATAGCTGGTGGTGTTGGAAAACCAGGGGATGCTGTGTTTTAAGAAGCTGCTGCGATGCTGGTGCACGTGCACGCATTGAAATGTGTGTGTGACCTTTCCTGACTCGGTGGGCCCCAAAACAAGTCCAGATAGAATTTCCATCCCTGATTGTGTACCTGGTGACAGCTCACTGGAGGCAACGGTCGGTCCGCGCATCCTCCTGGAGGATAGGATTGTCCTCATTCTCTTTTCCTGGCCGAATGCTGTCACTCTAGGATCACCCTGCAGTAATTTTCATATAGAGGAGGAAAGCAGACTGCTGCTTTAGAGATTGGTAATTAGCATTTAAAAGCGGGAGAGTCTTCTGCATTCTTACACAGTATAAAGAAGATGGCCAGCATCTCTAGGTGACAGCTTCTTTTGAAGTTGTCATTATTCTTTCACTGCTAAATTGTTAATTAGAGCATCTAACCAGTGTCTTTTATTTTGTAGTATTATCTGTAACACAGAAAGCGATCTTGAAATGCTTGTAAATGCCTCTGAAATTCGAACTCTAAATTCCCCAGTATTGATACAGATTTCTTATGGCATGATTTCTTAATTATTTGGCATTTTCTCACTGGTGGGTTGGTGTGCCCTCTCTGCTGAAGTCGTTTCTTCAGCTCTGTATCTTCTTTCTTTGAGCCTCTAATTATTCATCTCACAGCTCATTAATCCTGCCTCTATTCAGCATTCCCAAATTTGCATTATTTTGAAATGTGTTTTCAGTTGTTCTTGATCAATTTTCCTATGATTCATTTATTTTCACGAGGAACTTTTCTCTCCCGTAAAGCACTTTGGAAATGTATTCTTTTTTTTTTTCTTTTTTTTTTTTGAGAGATTTTCACTGTAGGGCGCGTGCGCTCGCCAGACAGACAGAGAGAGACATAGAGACAGAAAGCGAGAAATCACCCCCCAGGGGGGATGGTCACGCCGCAGTCCCTTCTCCTCCATTCTCCTCTTGGGATCTTGGGCACGCACGCACACGCGCCCGGTGTGAGTTTTAAGCCACCGGGTCCGGGACACGAACCGCGGTCGACTACGTGGGAGTCCAGTGACATAGCCATTACGCTAACTGCTGGTTCCCTGGAAATGTATTCTTTAAATCACTGAATTACTGATATTTCTCCCTGAGTTCTAGAAAATAGAATAATAGACAAGATTATATTTTTGTCCTTAACGAGAACGATGTAATTGACTAAGAAGCAGTACAAGTTAAAGGTACCATAGAGCCATTGACATATTTGAAAGACCAGGCAGAGATGGGGGCAGGTGGGGAATTTAAGTCATGATCTTACAAAGATAGAGTAGGTTTTTGTTAAACTACAGGAATAATTGATTTTTCACCTTTCCTTTCTTGAACCTGTTTTGGTTGATTTGGTCACTTTAACCTTATTATCAGTCTATTCTTTTTTAATGTATGAGTTAAATCTATTTTTTAAAAGTTGCTATATGGCACATGTACTTGCCAGAGAGAGAGAGTGAGAGACGGTAAGAAAGCACCCCCTGGGGAGTTAGCCATGCTGCCATCCCTCCTCTCCAGTCTCCTCTTGGGATTTTGGATGCATGTGTGCAAACGCACCCAGCATATTTGTCAAGGCACCAGGTTTGGGACTTGAACCATGAAGTTGGCCACGTGGGACCCAGCCACCTTAACCACCACGCCACCGGCTAGCTCAAGTTAAAAACATTTTTTAAAATTTAAAATGCCGGGAACCAGCAGTTAGCATAATGGCTGTGTCACTGGACTCCCACGTAGTTGACCGCAGTTCGCGTCCCAGATCTGGTGGCTTAAAACTCACGCCAGGCGCGTGTGCGTGCGTGCCCAAGGTCCCGAGAGGAGAATGGAGGAGAAGGGATTGTGGCGTGACCATCCCCCATGGGGGGTGATTTCTTGCTTTCTGTCTCTATGTCTCTCTCTGTCTGGCGAGTGCATGCGCCCTATAGCGAAAATCTCTAAAAAAAAAAAAATAAAAAAAATAAAATGCCTTCCTGCCTTTCTTCTTTTCTTCCTCTCCTCGCCTTCCTTCCTTCTTTCTTTTGAACACAAGCACCCTTACCAGTGTCCCACGCCACCATCTTCCCCCACCCCACAAGCCTTTTTGGGCAGCCAGGATCATGGGCACACATACATGTGCCTGGTGTGCACAGGTTGACTGGACACTCAGCAGCCCGGCCCCAGACATCCATGTGACTTCCAGCATTGCGGTGTTGAGCTCCTGCTGTGTTACGGTGGCTGGGCCTCTTCATTTTCTAATTCAGTGATGCCAACAGTCAACCTTCTGTGGCTTTTCTCTCCTGATAACAGCGTGTGGAATGGGTGACGAGGTCCTCTCTTTGTCTCCTAATTTCTTCAGTTCCAAAAGATACAAACAGAGCCCACACCCACGACAACAGCAACCATAACGCCCCAAATTGATTAAATCATCCGTCTGGATCTCATGGAAGAGGGCCCTTCCTAATTGAGAGCATCTGTATTGAAGCCATTCTCTTACACACCTGTCCAGTTAGCCTGAACTACTCTGTACTAAGGAGGGGCAAGTAGGAGGCTCTATAATGTGGAAAGTGAAACTGTAGAGAAAGCGTATGCGAATGTCTTCTTTCTAATGACTACCGCTTTTTGTGGCTGGCTCCCGGGAACCTGTTCGCTTTACTTGAGGTTGGAGGACAGTAATTTCGCTAATTGTATGGTTTGGTCGTGGTGGTGGTGGTGGTGGTGGCGGGGGGGGTGATGACGATAAGTACTTAGCTGTTGACTGTGTGCCGGGTACAGGGCCGAGTGGTGTGCATGAATCCGTGTCTACATCTCTTAATGACTGAGTGCTCTGTCCATTTTACCAATGAGGAAATGGAGGTGTAGGTTAAATAATTCGTTCAAGGTCACACAGGAGTTGGTTGATTTCGGGTGTTAACTTAGGTCTTTGTGACACCAGACGTGCTCATGTAACTCCATTTTATTGGTCCCCTTGATCCTTATTGACATTTCCTTTTTAATGGGTGCGCAGTTTGGTCTTTAGTCAAAACAGTGCCTTAGGGGCCAGCAGGTGGCATGCTGTTTATGGCGCTGGACTCTCATATAGCCAAATGCAGTTCAAGTCCCAGACCTGGCAGCTTGCTTTCTCACTTCCCTTTCTCTCTCTGCCTCTCTCTCCCTCTGGCCAAAAAAAAAAAAAAAAAGTTTTTTAAAAAGGCAGCATTGTCTTAGAGCCTATTAAGTGATAGACACAGAAATGTATTTAAACTTATTTCTGTGGCTTTAAATCCAGTCCGGTGATGTGCATGATGGTGTCCCTGCTTTTGTCTTTAAGACAAACCAGATTTTTGGCCTATATGGGCCTGTATGCAAAGAATTCTGTTTATAGTGTTGCACATTAACATCAAGATTTGCACTGAGAATATTTTTTAAAGATATTTTATTTATTTTACTTTGTTATTATTTATCTTATTTATTTTTAAAATTTTACCAGAGAAAGAGCGAGCGAGCGAAAGTGAGAAAGCAAACCACCATGCCTGGGACTTGAACCACAGTTGGCCATGTTGGGGGGTTCA